GAGGCGGAGGCGCTGGCGGGTGATGCAGGCTCGGAGGCCGCGGTGCAGAGTGAGCAGGGCCTGCGAGCGCTGCTGCCCCAATAGCTGCTCTAGCTGCTGCCAGCCCTGCTCCTGAAGTAGGATTGGTCTGCAGAGGGGTAGGGGGGATGGGGAGCGGGGTAGGGCATAGGGGGTGGGGAAAACAGACAGGCCCTTGCCTGGCCTCTCCTCTGGCCTCAGCCTCCCCACATCTGGTCACGCGAGCTATTCTAGGATGCCAGTCTGCCAGCCAACCCATCCCAGAGCCAGCAGGGCCTCTCCTTCCTCGCACTACCCACTGCCCCGCACTCTCACACACACACACCTGGGTGTTTCCAAGATGATAGACTGGTGACTCTGCCCCCAGCACTTGGCTGAGGATGGCTCCACACCTCTCCTGGTCGGAGAGAGCTTCCTGTCTCCCTGACCCCAGCGCCCGGAACCTGTCACAAGGGCATAGATGTGAGGTTGGAAGAGCAAGGACCAGTTTTAGAGGTTTGATTGACAGCTGCCCCCTTGGTGATCACTCAGTTTCTGGATCAATCAACAACTCGGGGAATCCTAGTTCCTGTTGCTGTGAGGGAACACCCTAAGAGGAGCGACTGCTGAGAGAGGGGTTTGTTTGGCTTACAATTCCGGGGTGCTGCTCACTGGTACAGGGAATCAGGGCGGGAACTGGAAGCATCTACCTAGTCACACCACAGTCAAGAGCAGAGGGCAAGGAACATGTGACTCAGGACTCCCTGCCTAGGGGACGGTGCCACTACTACGGGCCAGGTCTTCCTATGCCAATCAAGACAGTCTTCCAGAGATGTCCCCACAGGCCAGTGTGATCTGGACAATTTCTCCATCAAGATTCTCTTCCTGTGGTGGCACACGCCTTTAATCCCAGTGCTCAGGAGATAGAGGCAGGAGGATCTCTGTGAGTTCAAGGCCAGCCTGGTGTACAGAGTGAGTTTCAGGACAGCCAGGGCTACAGAGAAACCTTGTCTCAAGAAAAACAAAAACAAAAGACTATCTTTCAGAGCCGGAGAGATGATCAGTGGCTAGGAGCACTTGCTACCCTTGTATAGGACCCAGGTTCAGTTCCAAGCACCCATGACAGCCAGCTTACAATTGCCTATAACGCCAGTTCCAGGGCTCCGACCTGGCCTGTGCAAATACCTGCAGTGCGCATACATATAACACACATATTTGCACACATTCGCATGTGTGCACAGTCTTGCACACACGCACACACTGTCTCTCTCACACACAGTCTCTCTCACACACACACAGTCTCTCTCACACACACACAGTCTCTCTCTCTCTGTCTCTCTCTCTCTCTCTCTCTCACACACACACACACACACACACACGCACACACAGTCTCTCTCACACACACAGTCTCTCTCTCTCACACACTGTCTCTCTCACACACAGTCTCTCTCACACACAGTCTCTCTCACACACACAGTCTCTCTCTCACACACACACAGTCTCTCTCTCACACACACACAGTCTCTCTCTCACACACACACAGTCTCTCTCTCACACACACACAGTCTCTCTCTCACACACACACAGTCTCTCTCTCACACACACACAGTCTCTCTCTCACACACACACAGTCTCTCTCTCACACACACACAGTCTCTCTCCCCTGTCATACTCTCACACACTCACACAGCCCGTGTTGTAGCCGGCAGCGTGCTGACTCCGGACAGGGAACTGGGAGGCAAGACCTCTGCTGTGGAGAACAGGCAGGTTGTTAAACCGAAGAGATGGTGTCATGAGGCCAGATAAGGCTAGAGGAGCATCAGGATGTGACCCTGTGGCTTCTGTCTCTCCCTGGTACCTGACACAGCTCCACAGTGGGGCTCATGGCATGACTGCAGAAGGTAGGGCCGAAGGCACAGCGGCCCATCAACATCAACAGACCTGGCCAATGCTGGGCAGGCAGTGTGCACCAAGATCCCCCTAGCAGAACCCAGAGCTTCCTGGAACAGGTGACAATCACTGACTTGGCAAGTGTCCCAGGGCAAGGACAAAACCTTCTCACCTGTCATTTGTCACTCTCAGCATCTAGCTCAGGGACAGTCACACAGATACTCATCTACTTCCTGCTTCAGGCTCCACCCCGGCCAGACTGTCCCCATGCTAACACAGTCATAGGCAAAGCGGGTGGTTAGAGCCCTGAGGTGAAACCTCAAAGGTGAACAAGAGGCAGGTCAGGTCAAGGTCAAAGCCAAAGAGACAACACAGCAGCCACCAGCTTTCCCAGACACTTCTGAGCTAGCTCTCCATGAAAGGCTGTCCCACCCTCACTGCGATAGATGACCTCGTGGCTCCCCAGGGCTGCTCCTGCGCCTGCCATCTCACTAACTGTCTTCCCTCATCTCACCAACTCAGTCACGACTTCATGATACTAGCTGTGCCCACCTGGCTGCACGGAAAGGTCCCAGGGCAGGCAGGACCCAGCAGGATATTAGCACTGAGGAGATACGGTGGATATTGAAAGGAGTGTGTGTGTGTGTGTGTGTGTGTGTGTGTGTGTGTGTGTGTAAGTGAAAGTCAGGCACATGGTCCCTTCTCTGCCAGGACTACATACCTGGGATTGTCCCCTGTCACGAATTGGCCCCAGGCCCTCAGCTACCTCACCACAGAGCCCTACCTGGTCAGGAAGAGCTGGAAGGGCACTCGCACAGGGAAGTGAGCACTTCGGGTGCCTATGACCTCCAGGATACCAGCCTGGAGCAGCTGCTCTGCCATGTGTCCTACATTAAAGAGGCCTGGGAGCTGTAAGCCAGAGACAGCCAAGGAGAGCTGGGGTCAGGGGATGAGGGCTGACAGAGGGTCTCAGAGGAAGGGAGGGGCTGAGGAGAGCAGGGCAGGGGTGAAGCTGGGGAAAGGGAGCTCACCTTTCCAGGGGTGGGGTTGAGACAGTGGATGACATAGATGTGGCTCCTGAAGAATGGAAAGGCAGTCACAGACCTGACCCCCCCCCATCAACTCCCTGGGGTCCAGTGGGAGGGCGTAGTCCTCACCTGCCAAGCCGGGCTAGCAGGCCCCCCAGGGACTGCTGGAATCGAGAGGCCAGTGTGGGTTTGCCCTCCTCTCTCCCAGCCTGTGGTTCTGCTTCCTGGAACAGGCTGCACACAAGCTGTGGGGTGAGATGAGTGTCAGCTGTTTCCATCCTGGGCCTGCCCACCCACCACACAGCCCCTGGAGAGCCAGGACAGGCCACCCTCAACACTAGATGCCCCCCTACCCTGCATGCTCATGCTGCCATCCAGGGCGCCATGGTGTTGAGGACTAGCCCCTCAAGGCTTGATGGGGGATAAGCTATGTGGGCAGCTGAAAGGAATGCCAGGTCACCTGCAGCTGGCTCTGCCCAAGCATCTCCACCATGGCAGAGTCCAGGTGGTCCCTGTTTCTGTTTATGAACTTGTGCACCTGCAAGAGAGGAGGCAGATGCAGGTGTGTGTGGGCCTGCAAGAGGCTGGTTGTACACCACACCTCAGAAACCGGCAGGCTTTCTCAGCTTTGCATAGTCCTGCTGGGGAGCGACCTTTCTGGCTCACCCCAGAAAACACCGGTCCATGTTTAGCAAAGCTGTCCTCTTCCAGGGCGCTGCTGTCGGGAGCTTCCTACCCCTTCACTCTCTGCCTCCCCTGCACTCTCTTGGTTACTGTTATGAGCAACAGGGCTGGAGAGATGGCTCAGGGGTTGAGAGCACTGGCTGCTCCTCCAAAGGACCAGGGTTCAATTCCCACACCCATACAAAAGCTCACAACTATCTGTAACTCCAGTTCCAGGGGAATCATGGCACCAGGCATGCACGTGGTGCAGGCAGGAAAAACACCCATAGGCATAAAATAAATCTTTAAAAAGAAGAAAAACTCAGAATAGTTTGTGTGTTTTGTTTGTTTTTAATCAAAACCCAATCTCAGGGATAGGGCTGTAACTCAGCTGGAAGACCCCTTACGGAACATACTCATGCCCCGGATTTGACTCCTAGCATGGCCTGAAGTAGGCATGGGTGTTAACACAGCTGCAATCCCAGCACGTGGGGACTGGAGGCAGAAGTATCTGAAGTTTAAAGTCATCCCTGGCTACCAAAAAAAAAAAAACCTTAAAGGCCAGACGAGACAATATGAAACCCTGGCCCAGAAAACAAATCAAGGCCATGGATGGTGGTGCACACCTTTGATTCCGGCACTCGGGAGGCAGAGGCAGGTGGATCTCTGTGAGTTCGAGGCCAGCCTGGTCTCCAAAGCCGAGTGCCAGGACAGCCTCCAAAGCTACACAGAGAAACCCTGTTTTGAAAAAACAGAAAAAAAAAAAAAAAAGAACATATATCCAGCATGAATGGGCGGAGCTCGCAAGACCCCACCCCTGGCTGAGGAGATATGAAAGTAATTCTGATGCTCAGAATTGGGTGTGGCCTGGGGCTCAGGTGGAGCTATACTGCCCTGACATTGTCACCTGGTAGGTGACTCAGTTTGGGAGGGGCAGACACTAAGGTGACATGGCCTTACTGATTCACCCTGGAATCTGTGCCCAAGAACAGATAGGTACCTGGTAGGTGACAGTCCCAGCATAGTGCTGCACTGTGAAGATGGGGAGAGGCAGCTGAGGCTTGGCGTAGCTTGGGTGGTCACCATGGTGATAGTGGCACTTGTGGAGGAAAGTGTGGTCCGTGGCCTGGGAAGGAAGGAACCACGATTTCCTCAGCACATGCTTCCTGGTTCCCACCTGGACACCCCAGAACCACACCCCCTAGACAAGGAGACTTGTCTCCCAAAGTCTCTTCCTCAGACAGGAAGAGTCAGTAAGTCTGTAGCTAAAAAACAAGCACTCTCAGCTAGTCGTTGGTGGTGGCACACGCCTTTAATCCCAGCACTCGGGAGGCAGAGGCAGGGAGATCTCTGTGCGTTCGAGGCCAGCCTGGTCTCCAGATCAAGTGCCAGGGGCTCCAAAGCTACACAGAGAAACCCTGTCTCAAAAAAAAAAAAAAAAAAAAAGAAAACAAGCACTCTCTTTCTTGATGACTTTACATTTGGAACAACCAAGTACTACTTAAGAAAGTCAGAAAGTCAGTCCCTCAGGCCCAGGAGCCACCTCCACTGGCCCTAGATGTGACATTTCTGAGAAAGCCTGAAGGAATTAAAAGGAAATAGAATTGGGGGCTTTGACATCTGTGTCAGAGCCATCCCAGGTGGATCCCACGGCTACAGCTTCTCAAGTCCTTACAGCCCTTATATAACCTAAGGGCTGGCAAGATGGCTCAGAGGCTAAGAGCCCCGGCTGCTCTGACAGAGAACCTGGTTCCCAGCTCCCACATGAGGGGTGGCTCACGAACTCTGATGCCCTCTTCTGGCCTCCTCGCATACCAGGTACACATGGTGTTCAGACAAAACACACCCATACACATAAAACAAATTTCAATGGTTTAAAGAGTGACCCTGGGACTTCAGAAACACCTGTGGTAGGTTTCTTTTGTTTTGGAGACAGTATCCTATGTAGACCGGGCTGACTTTGAGTTCACATTCATCCACCTGCCTCTACAATCAGAATCCTGGGGATTAAAGGTTACACACTACGCCTGGCTGGTTTTTGTTTGGTTTGGGATGGTCTCCTGTAGCCTCTACCTCTAGAGTGCTGGGATCACAGGTGTGCACCTTTTGTCAAAATCCCTTCTCAAGGGAGGAGCACTCTCCTAAGGTCCCTGTGGGAAACCAAGGTACGATTTCACCCAAGTTCACCCTGGGGAACCAGTTAGTTTGCCAAGCTTACTTAGGGAGCATAAATGAGGAGTCACTTAATGGAGTGTGAGTGCTTCCCCCCAAAAGTCTTACCCAGCATCGACGAGGACTTTCCTATAGCCATAGAGATGGAGCCCCCTCCCTCCGTTTCCCTGGCCTATAAATGCTAGCCTTTCCCCGAGACCATGCGCAATGCGGGCCAGGGAGGACTGCATTGAATACAGGTGACAACGTAAGACTGGTGACCGTCCTGACCTCTCTTGTGAGGGATGGTGAGCAGGTAATGACCCACCTGGGATGATCTTTTGCAAGGAGGCACAGCTGTAGTCCCCAAGATGGTGGTGGTTCCATAGAATAGCACCATCACATCTGATTTTATACCGTGCTGGGGAGCGAACCCAGGGCTCTGCGTCTGCTAGGCAAGCCCTCTGTCAACTCAATCGCTGTCCCAGGGTCACTTCATTTTTGGTGTCTACCCTCAGGTCCCAAAGGTCTGGGTCCTATACGTGTTCCTGTGACCCCGCAACGCTCGCTGCCCACACAGACGTACAGCTGGGACTCTCACTTATTTTCGCCCGACTAGCCAGCGATGTACTGCCTAGCCCAGCCTGGCTTTTTTATTCTTTTAAATTACATCAGGCTGTGTTGGCTTCAAATTTGCATTCTTCCTGCTCCTGCCCTGTGAGTGTTGGCAGACAGGAACTCATGGCCACCCCAGGTCAGGTGGAGTTTCTATTAGAATCACACTATCTCACACACACACCAGGCAAGCACCACACACCCCCAGGCTCCCTCCCTTCTCTTTTCTAAGGTAGGGATTTTTGTACATTGCCCACGCTGGTCTTGAACTCCTGAGCTTAAGAGACCTTCTTGCTTCAGCTTCCTAAGTGATGGGGCGACCCTGCCAAACCCGACTTTGTTGTTGAGGCATGCATGATCTCACTATGTGGCCATAACTATTCTGGAACTTGCTGTGTAGACAAAGCTGGCTTCAAACGCATCTGCCCGGACCAGCATCCTGAGTCCTGGGACTAAAGACATGTGTCATCATGCCTAGCCAATTTATTTTTATTTTTACATTTATTTATTTATTTGCTTTTTGAGATAGGGTTTCTCTGTGTAGCCCTGGCTGTCCTGGAACTAGCTCTGTAGACCAGGCTGGCCTTATACTTCCCTGCCCCTGCCTCCCGAGTGCTGGGATTAAAGGTGTGTGCCACCACTGCCCGGCCATTTTTAAAAACTAATTAATTTTTAGACTTATTTCCTTTTTAATGTGTGCATGTGTACTTTGCTTGCATATCTCTGTGTACCATGTATGTGTCTGGTGCCCATGGAGGTCTGAAGAAGGCATCAGATCTCCCAGAACTGAAGTTATATTGATGGCTGTGAGCCACCACATGGATGCTGGGAATTGAACTTGGCCTCTCTGCAAGAGCAACAAGTGCTCTTTACTGCCAAGTCACCTCTCCAGCCCCTAACATTTTCCCCCACTCTCCTGGGCTCCAGGAGGAGAAGAACTGAATCATTTGTGTCTGACCTTTTTCCCTAGAAAGGTCCCTACATGCAAATCTATCCCTTCTTCCTTCATTGCCAGTGAACCACATAGAATCAGAGCCCTTCAGACAGGCCCAGCCCACCTGCAACTCATCCTAATGTAGAGGAAAGATATGTCATACTGACTGCAGTTGACAATCAAGAGTGTCTGTCCCCTGTAGGAGTTCAAATCCGGGAAGCAGAGGCTGACATGTAACAGGGAGTATTTATACCCAATAGCCAGTTACCAACCCAAGAAGCATTTGTAGCAGGCTGTTGGTGGTGTACGTCTGTAATCCCAGTACTTAGGATATGGAGACATAAGGATGAGTTCAAGGCCAGCCAAGACTATATACATGACTTCCTATGTCAAAAACAAAACTAAGAGGTTGGAGAGATGGCTAAGAGCACCGGCTGCTCTTCCGGAGGTCCCAGGTTCTGCTCTCAGAACCCACACAGTTGGAATCCAGGGGATTCAACAACCTCTTCTGATTTCCATGGTACTAGGAACACACACACTAGCAGACAAAACATTCATACACACTGGGTGGTGGCAGCACACGCCTTTAATCCCAGCACTCAGGAGGCTGTGGCGGGCTGATCTCTGAATTCAATACCAGCCTGGTCTACAGATTTATTTGCAGGACAGCCAGGACTACAAAGAAAAAGTGTCTTGAAAAAACATGGGCTGGAGAGATGGCTCAGCGGTTAAGAGCACTGGCTGGTCTTCCAGAGGACTCGGGTTCAATTCCCAGCACCCACATGGCAGCTCACAACTGTCGGTAACTCCAGTTCCAAAAGATCTAACACCTTCACACCAATGCAGATAAAATAAATTTAAATAAACTAGTTTAAAAAAACAAACAAAAAATATTCATACATTTGAAATTAAAGGTTTTTTTTTTTTTTTTAAAACATTTGGTGGGAGCCCAGGGCTTTCACTCTTGAATGTGTCTTCCCCAGGCTGTGTGCAAAGGCTGGGTCTCTGGATCTATAACCTGGTTGTCTCCCAGGAGGCCCTGCCAGCTTCATCCTGGATACTTAGGGGCCCCATTCCTTGTTCCTGACACTGAGCACCACTGATACCTGGGCTAGCCATGTCTGGGAGTCCAGGATGCTCAGGAGACTGTGGGGCTGGCCCGCCAGGAGGTCCAGGCAGGACTCCCTGCGAGGCTGGGGAATGGGCACCCAGCTCAGCATCTCCCGCTGGCACTCCTCCTAGACACAAACAGGGTTTGATAATTCAGCCCACATTTGTGGGGCCAGGAGAGGTCACAGAGCTGCCAAACAGAGTCCCCTCCTCTTATGTAAATGGAGGTCAAGAAGGACAGATCCTCCCCACCCACTAAGGGAAAGGGGCTTTGGGACAGAGCTTCCCAGGGACTACTTTGGCCTCTTTGCTGGGCAGTTCTCTGTCACCTTTCACATCTCTGCCCAGCTCCCTACCTCCTCCTGGGCCAGCAGCCTCTGGCTGGAGAAGAGCTGCAGGCGCTCGCTAGCCAGGTTGCTGCACAGCTGCTCCAAGCCGTTCACCCTCAGTGCCTGGGAGAAGTGAAAAGCACAGGAGGTGGGGGCAGGGCAAGTGGGGCTGCCCTCCCTTCTCTTCAGGGCTCTAGAAGGAGTGGTAGCCCAGAATTGAGACCACGGCCAATAGGGAGAAGTCTAAAGGAGATGGTGCAGCCTATAGGCCACTTTAGCACAACTGTGCACACTCACCACCATAGCACAGCTGTGCACACTCACTCACCGCCTAAACACAGCTGTGCATACTCACCCACCACCCTAGCACAGCTGTGCACACTCACCCACCACCCTAGCACAGCTGTGCACACTCACCCACCACCCTAGCACAGCTGTGCACACTCACCCACTACCTTAGCACAGCTGTGCACACTCACACACCACTTAGCACAGCTGTGCACACTACCCACCACCCTAGCACAGCTGTGCACACTCACCCACCACCCTAGCACAGCTGTGCACACTCACCCACCACCCTAGCACAGCTGTGCACCCCTGCAAACACACACCAGAACACACATGCATAAAACCCTTCCCATCCAGGGCAGGTGGTCACCAAGGACATCCTAAAGAGGGCAGAACACATAGGGCAGTGAACAGTGCCCATTCAGGAACTGGGGGTGGCTATCTCCTTCCTGCAAGCCCTGTTATTGCTGGCCCTTCTCCACAAAAAGAGGTGGCTCTTGAGGAAGGGGTGCACAGCTGTGACAGTTCTGGAAGATTCGAGAGGGTCTACTTCTTCCCTCCTTGGCACGTGGGAGGTTGTGGACAGACCCAGCCCGAGGTGATCATTCCAGACAGAACTCTCTAGAAGCAGTGCCAGAACAAGACAGAGCAGGGCAGGACTGTATCTGTAGAGAGCTAACATTGCCTACTTTACTGCTGGGGACACGGCGCTCAGAAGGGTTAATTAGCTGTGTGAAGTCACACAGCCAGCAAAGGGCAGGAGAAGGCAGACAGGCTGGGGCTTATGGTGGGCTCCAGCCCCTCGCAGAGGGAACCCAGGAGGGTTGCCAGTCCCGGCTGGGAAAGGGACATATGGTAGGGTTATCGTCCTCCCAGGATCATGCAGATGGAGGTCAGTGGACTGAGAGCCCCAAGATTCCCTGCCCCAGCCTCCACCAGACTCTCAAGCCCCAAGAGGCATGACCTGTTCCCTCCTCACCCCACCCAGGGACACTCAGCCAAGATTCACTCAGTAGCCCCAGAAGGAGCCAGCAAAGGCACAGGCCAGACAGGCACACAATGTAGAGAGGGAAAGGACCAGAACCCACTCAAGACACACAAGTTCTCAGTGCTAAAGAGGGACAAAGGACAAGGAATAAAAGACAAAGACAGGAGACAGAGAACAAGGGAGAAGGGGAAAGGAACAAGGGAGAGGCCTGAGGGATATCTGCCCAGGAGGGACAAAGGAGACAGACATGGCCCACAGGCGAATGGCAGTTTATAAAGGGAAAGGGGGAAACCCTGCATTGGGATGAATTGGTTCACTTTGATTGGGCTTTTGATTGCTGGACTTCAATACTTTGATTGCTGGACCTTGGTAGACAGCCTCAGGAGGAGAAAGTGGTCAAAAAAGGGAATAGACCCTTGGTGGCTAGATTTAGAAATGTAATCTAACGTTTTTTGTTTAGGTTTTGGTTTTTCGAGACAGGGTTTCTCTGTGTAGCTTTGGAGCCTGTCCCGGCACTCACTCTGTAGACCAGGCTGGCCTTGAACTCACAGAGATCCGCCTGCCTCTGCCTCCCGAGTGCTGGGATTAAAGGAGTGTGCCACCAACACCTGACTAATCTAACGGTTTTTAACAAGGGGGAGAAGGGTAAAAGGCAAAAGGTCGGGCCTGCTAGAGACTTCAGGGAGGATTGTAATGAGATGGGCACCACCTGCCCTGCTCCTCCCCCTCCCAAAGGGTGACCTCAAAGCCGAAGGCGTCCACGACAGTGATGGTGGCCACACTGTCTGCCTCTCGTGGTGGAGCCAGCAGCACGTTGATCTGCTTCAGAAGCCAGTTGAAGAGCCTCGTGTACAGGGTCTTGGCCAGGGCATCCCTGCAGACACTGTGAGTGAGCCTAGCCCAGCAGAGCACCTCATCGGGCTCCAGTCTCCGTTCCCGAGATTACCTGGCATCAATAGCACTTTCCACCGGTAGAGATCGGGAGACCCGGCCATAAGGTGTGTCCTGGAGACCAGAGAAGTGCTCAGGATGTCAGGACAGGACGGTACCCACAGGAGCTTTATGTAGCTCCTCCCCCTTCCCAGCACTCCTCGGGCTCACCAGGACCCTCTTGGTGATAGCTCCTTCTAGGCGCTCTGGTGGCACTCGTAGCAGCCGGGCTGCCAGGTGAATCTCAGCCCAGCTGGACAAAGCAGCCACCTCTTGGGACTCCCTCTGGACAGAGGTGGGGACAGAAAAAGCTTTGCTTGTTCGATGGCAATAGCACCCAGCCATGGCGTTGCTTTATCTAGCCAGCTGCCCATTACTCAAAGGACCAACAGCAGCCAGCTGTGGTGGCACACACTTTTAATCTCAGTACTTGGGAGGCAGAGGCAGAGGATCTCTGTGAGTTCAAGGGCTGGGCTACGTAGTAAAACTCTGTCTCAAAAATAAATACACGGCCAACAGCATACAAAGTGCTCTGGACTGAGGTGAGCCAGACTCTAGGGCTGAAGGCCCTGAGTGTGAGCCCTGACTAACTTTTCTTAGTGGTCAGGCAGTTCTGGACAGTCCCTTTCTCTTTCTGACCCTCTGCTACCTTATTGCTAGAGGGACAACAATCCCCCTTAGGACACAGTTGTTGACATGAGAATTAAGTCCCTTGACATTATCAGGCAGCAGCTTCCTGGAGTTCTTAAGGTTGACAGCTGAGTACAAAGGCAGCTGGAGGGCCAGGGCTCACTGTCCTTGTCTGTGTGACAGGGATCTGCCTGCTTCCAGAGGCAGCCCAGGGCTTTGTGGAAACATTATCATTGGCCCGATTGTGCAAACCGCCTGTCACTGCCCATCCTGGGAGCTCACTGCCCACAAGAGAGCCCACCTCTGAAGAAGAGAAGCAGATGTTTCCCAGATGCAGGATGGTGGCCAGCACAGCCCAGACTTCACTCAGCTCCTCTGCACACAAGCCCAGAACCTGCAGAGCCTTCACCAGCCCTTTGAAGTCCTGGGCATCCTCTTTGCCCTGAAGTCTGCAGGTTTGACCCTGCAGAGTACAGCAGGCTTGTGGTGGGGCAGCCCCTGGCATCTCCACAGCATCCTGAAAGACCTGGCTGAGCCACTTATCTGGGCTCACCATCCATGAGAACCTCACCCCTACCTGGTTGAGGTAGTAGTAGGCCTCAGGTCCCTGCAGAGAGAGCAGTTCACGGTCCCCAGGGTCCAACCCCGCCAGCAGCTCATAAAAAACATGGAAGCTTCGCTCAGCCTGGGCCTTGGGGAGAGAAACTGGCTTGAGGGTGGGGTGGGGTTTGAGAGCTGTGGCTCCTCCTTCCAACTTTCAGAGTTGGGGAAGGGTGGGTAGGAGGCAGGTCCTTACCTGAAACACTACTCTGGAGGTCTCAAGAAGATAGTGGGACACAGAGGCTCCTACATTGACTCCGCTGTGAATATAAGAGACAGGGTAGGCACACCCAGGGGCACTTTTCAGAAGGGGCCATCCAAGGGCTGAGCCCAAAGGCAGTACCCTAGTGACATCCCAGGTGTCACCGTGCCCACTGGACCCCCATCACTCACTGATGCAGGCAGAGGCATAACTCCTGGCCAAAGCGGCTGCCATTGGCATTGAGGATAGTCTTGGCGTGGCCAAAGCTGCTGAGTACAGGCAGAATGTCCTCTAGCTGTGTGAGGGTTGGGACATTCATGTATACCTAAGATGGCCATAGCACCCACTATCCACTGAGAGCTCTCTAAACCGCTGGCTGTGTGGACCCTGTGGGATCAGTCCTATCAGAATCCCATCCCACCCCACCCCCAAATTAAAAGGGCTGAGGGTGTGGCTCAATTGTAGAATGTTCCTATAACGTCCCCAAGGTTCTGTGCTCAGTCCCTGGCAGCACATAAAGGTGGGTGTGCGGTAACCCTAGCACTCGGGAGAAGCAGACGTTCAAGGCCATTCTCAGCTACACAGAAAAGTCTAGGCCATCCTGGGCATGGTGGCTCGTGTCTTTAATCCCAGCACTCAGTAGGTAGAGGCAGGTGGATCTCTGAGTTCAACGCCACCCTGGACTACAGATAAAAGTTCCAGGACAGCCAGGGCTGCACAGAGAAACTTTGTCTTGAAAAAAAAGAAAACAAAAATACCCCACCCCAAAAAAACCCCAAAACAAAAAACCACTACCATCACCCCAAACAATAAATAATAAAATAAAAAGGCCCTACCCTACTCTACTCCCCTGCATCAGGGAAATCTTTGGGCAGATTCACGAGAAGCCACAGGCTTGTGGAAATGTCCTGAGAAATGACCCTTTGACTCCCGCCAGACCTCACCTGAGCCCCTCTGGCCTCTGCCTGCTTCTGCCCCAGGCTGCTGAGAAACTCCACAATCTTCTTGGCAGCCTCTGTCTTCCCTGAGCCACTGTGCCCCCTGCAGGAGGAGCAAATGGTGGGAGGCAGCATCTAGGCCTATCCCACTGAGCCCAGGAAGTGCCTTAGGGCAGTGACTCCACAGAGAAGCGACAATGTTACCCGAGTACACCTGGTTCATGGAGAACAACCAGAAAGAAGTGCTACCCATGGTCACTGAGGGTGGCTTCCCGAATTCAGGCTGCCCAGCGGTGCATAGGACCAATAGTTAGGGTGGTGTGTGGCTCAGGCAAGCGATCGATTGCAATCAGTCGTGACTTACCCCAGGAGGATGCAGGGGGCCGGTCCAGCGCTCTGAGACAGGCGGTAGGCTGCTGCCCCGACAACAAAGATGTGACTGGGGGGGGGGGGGGGGACAGGGAGAAGATGAGAAGGGTGCTGTCTGGGGCCCCCTAGGAATAGGCGACCTGCCCACAGGCCCTGGAACTCATGCAGTAAGACATATATGCAGGAAGTTAAGCACAGGGACAAAGGGGCAAAGTCACATACGGTGTGGTATTTGCAGCCTTCCTGGGATGGTAGCTGGCCAAGATCTCAGGTGAGAAGAGAGGCAGTGGCTGGTGGGGGTTCAGAGCGAGCAGGAGGGGCCCCCCGAAAGTCTGGTAAAGGAAATAGAGGCTCTTATGAGAAGGGAGGAAAGGACAAAATGGAGAGCTCTGATGCACCCCAGACTAGCCTCTCATGCATGTCTTGCAGGACCCCAGGTACAGCTGGCTTTACACTCAGTCTAGGGATGAAGAGAAGCCCCAGGGATGCCGGGGAACCCCTGCCCACAGAGGAAAGGGAATCCACAGCCTTCTCTGTGGCCCCTTACATAGATGCGGCCCAGGTGGAACCTCTTCTTGAGACACAGTAGCACAGAACTGTCACACACCAGCCTGTGGGGACAGCAGGACGAGGGTGAAGTTGCTGGGAGTCGGTCCTGGGCTAGCTCTGCCACTTAGCTTTAGGGAAACCCTGGGCAAGCTGTGCAATTTGCAGCTGAGCTCTTCAGTTGCAGCCCATCCCCTGGGGGTGGGGGTGGGGGGTGGGGCTGCTGAACAAGAGAGACACTCTTGGTCAGGCTAGCCAGGAAACGAAGTCCCTTGCCTGCCCCAGGGCCACAGGCCTGTAATTCCAATGACTTGGGAGCATCACAAGTTCAACTCTTGCCTGGACAACCTGGTGAGATTCTTTTAACAAAGATGAACAGGGCGCAGGCACGCGGGGTGGGGTGGGGGTGATGAGCACCAAAATGGCTAAGAGGGTAAAAGCACTTTCCCCAAAGCCAGGTAACCAGAGTGTGATCCCCAGAAACTATAGGGTGGGAGACAGTCAACTTCCTCTCACCCCGCATGTGTACTGTGACACTCAAGAGCTCCTCCCCATAAAAATAAAGAGGGCTGGGGTTATATATATAGATCAGGACCAAATGCAAGAGAACCTAGGTTCAGTCCATAGTAAGTGTGTGTGTGTGTGTGTGTGTGTGTGTGTGTGTGTGTGTGTGTGTAAGAGAGTGTGACATATAGATGGAAGGGGCACTTTTTACCCCGAATCTGCCTTTCTATGAGGCAAAAAAATCCCCTGTTGGCTCAGTGATGGTGCGTACGACTTTCAAAGGTCCAAGGGCAGGATGGAGCATTAGAAATATGAGCCAGGAGTGGTGGATTTGGCATTGTGCCCCTCACCGCAGCCGGGCGAGATCCTCAGTGTCTTCCAGGGCCTCTGGGAGACTCCTAGTTTTAGCACCGGGGAAGGGTGGCATCTCTAGGCTCAGTTCCAGGGCCCTTTCCAGCGCTGCCTCAGCGTCATCCTCTGGCTCCCACTGCTCCCTTGGGGACCTGCAGGGGCTGTTCTGCTGCAGGCGAGTCTCCAAAGTAAGTTGAGGTAGCAGAGTACCAGTGCCAACCCCAGGGTCTGCGCAGGGAGTAGAGCCCTGTGCCCAGTGCACCCGACTCTCCACTTCCAAGGTGTCTGGCTCTGCTTCGCTCCGGTTCTCGTCCGGTGGGGTCCCATCGGGGGCAGACGGGGAAAAGGATGGAGGCTGGTGGGACCTGACCACGCCTTCTTCTCTAGCCCCTTGCTCCTCCCTGTACTCTGCAGCCCCTGCAGGAGAAGAAACGCGGCCTTCCCCGGTGGGGGCATCCGTGGATGCTCCTGAGCTGCCGCCGCCCGACTCCTTCTCCGCACTGTGGATGCGGGGGAAGACCACCGCGAACTTTGGA